AGTTGGTTTTTATTTCATATACTGTACATCAGGGCTTGAAATTTCCACTCGCCTGCACGCCAATGGCGAGTGGAAAATTATAGTGGGGGCGAGTGTGTCCCCCAGGGCCGTCTTGCTGAGCAGGCTCAGAGCTCAGGCCGGATCTATCATTGGCACTGGGAGCCGTCAGACTGCTCAATAGCTGAGCGCAGTGAAAGCAAAGGAAGGAGTGTGTGCCGTGCTCTCTTCCTCCTTCTAGAGTGCAGTGCCCGGATCTGTGAGTGAACAACGAAGTACTGCAACTTTTTATGGGGGTGTGGGTGTGTGTGTATGTGTACATGTGTGTGTGTATGCATGTACAATTGTACATGTGTCTGTGTGTATGTACATGTGTGTATCTGTACATGTGTCTGTGTGTATGTACATGTATGTGTGTGTGTACATGTGTCTGTGTGTGTGTGCATGTACATGTGTGTGTGTGTTTGTGTGTATGTATGTACGTGTCTGTGTGTACATGTGTCTGTGTATGTATGTACATGTGTCTGTGTGTGTGTACATGTGTCTGTGTATGTATGTACATGTGTCGGTGTGTATGTACGTGTGTCTGTATGTGTGTATTTCTGTGTATGTACATGTATCTGTGTGTATGCATGTCTGTACGTGCCTGTAAGTATATATGTGTCTCTATGTGTGTGTATGTACATGCTTCTCTGTGCATGTGTGTACATGTTTCTGTGTGTGTATGTACATGTCTGTGTGTGTAAATGTTTTGAATTCAAGGAGCAAAGTAGTCAGGATGGGGCTTATTTAGTATAACTTGGCAAATCAAGCAAGTTTATAATGTACCTTAGATTGTACGCCCCTTGAGGGTTAGGGACTGATGTGAATGTACAATATATATGTAAAGAACTGCATAAATTGACAGCGTTATATAAGTACCTGAAATAGATAATGTAACCGTATTCCTTTCTCCTGCTGTTTTCTAACAGTGATACTTGAAATCTTAGTGACATTTCAGCTCATATTCCCTGTTTAATAGCAATTAAGGGATCTGCATAGTTATGAGTGGTTAATGTAAAGAAAGTATCTCCTTCAGAAAAGAATAAAGGTATCAGCAATCAGCTAGTGCATCAAAAGGGTTCTGGGAAAGAAAGCACAGAAATGTAGGCTGTTTTTATCTCTTCTTCCTGCTCTCAGGTTTTTTTTCTAAAGAACTGTACTCTTGCCAGCCACAGCTGCTTCTAGGAATTGCTGGATTATAGAAATGATTGGCTATTTTGAATTTTTATGATAAAAATGTCCTTATTCTATAAAACAAACCTGTCAGGTAAAAAAATAAAAAAACAATAACATCATGCTCTGCGTACTACCTACCCACCAGAGCATTATCCTTGCCTTAATGTTGCTACTCTTGCTTGATACTTATGGGGTGGGGGGGACATGTGACACTCTCTCTGCCCTCCCATAATGAACTGTTCAGTGCCTGAGTAGCCAATGGCCAGGATCGAGCTCTGCTACATGGAGAGAAGGAAAGCTAACCATAACTGGTTTGATTGTGTTTGCCCACATTTTTGTAACAGCAGCAAGGATTGGGACATCAAACAGCATTAAAGTGATTATAAAGCGTATTTCTTAAACATTTAAATAATAAACATGTCATAATTACCTACGCTGTGCAATTTTGAACAGAACAGCCCCAATCCTTCTGTTGAAGGGCCCCCACCAGCACTTCTGGCTCCCCCTCTTCATGCAGTACTACCATAGAAAGCCACTTCTTATGGAGGCACTCATGTGGGTTTGCTCCCGAGCCCTGCTGCCATCCCCTGCCCTCCATTCCCTCATGACAGAGTTTGACAGCAGTGGAAGCCAATGGCTCCTGCTGCTATTGATCTGCCCTGTGAGGAGGGACAGATCCGGGAGAGTTGCTGCTCTCATGCACAGCGCTGGATCGCAATGTGGCTCAAGTAAATATAAAGAGGGCTGGTGGGGTCCTAGGCATAGGAGGTTTTTTTACTTTAATGCATAGAATGCATTCAGGTAAAAAACCTTAAAGTGATTGTAAAAGCTCAAGGTTTTTTGTTAACTAAGGTAAAAAACCTTCTGTGTGCAGCAGCCCCCCCCCCCCCTCAGCCCCCTTAATACTTACCCAAGCCCTATTGCTATCCAGCAATGTGCACGAGAGCCTCAGCTGTCATTGGCTGAGACAGAAGCAGGAGCCATTGGCTCCAACTACTGTCAACCACAGCCAGTGAACCAATCGGGAGAAAAAGGGGGCAGGGCCATGCTGAGGCTCTGTGTGTAAATGGACACACCTTTAATATTACTTTAAGGCTATACACCCACTGTAATGGTATGATTAGGCAGCAGAGGTTGTCTAGCACACAGTGGAAAATTCATTTTTTATTATTTTATTTGGCAGGAAAGTGGACTTGAACTAAAATGCAAAACCTCTTTTGTGGCTGCCCCCACCCCCTGTTGTCAGAACACTGCACTACAGAAATTAAAGAACACTTAAACTATAATCATAAAAAAGACTTCCCTTACTCTCAGGCTTCTGGCAGGCAAAGCTAGGCCATGTGAAGTCGATGGGTCTTCTTGGGGTAGCCAGGGAGGATCCTAAATGGCAAATGGACACAATCCTTTACAGTTCAGTATTGCTCTGGACTTTTTCAAGATCCCTCTGTGAGGTCCCGTCATCAGGGACAGCAGGAGCCTGGAACTCAGGAGTAAGATGTGCATTTTTTTATGCATTTTCTTTCTTTGTTTTTAATTTCTACAATGTAGTGTTTTGTGAACGATGGTGGGGAGAAGCCACATATGTGGAGCTTACATTTTAGTAAAATGAATATGGCAATATAAAAACTCACTTGTCTTAAAAATTAAGTGATACTATTTTTGTTGGAAACCTATGAAAATATGAATCCCATACAATTGGAAATGCCATAATTACATAATATTTTCAAGTGTTTGAAGAGTACTTGGAAAAGTTAATAAGTATTTAACACATAACTATAAAATGTAAATGTAACAATATATAAATCAGAATAAATTGTATAAATGATTGGAAAGGTGGCTGCATAGAGGTGGTTTCTTCTCCCTGATGTATCATGTGCATCCCTTTCTTAATAGAACTTGTCTTGGCAATTGCAAGAGGGGGAAAAAAACACAGGCAGGCTGACAAGGAACATGAAAGAATAAGCTATCAACAGACTTACGCATGAATCTTTCTAGTTCCTTCTCGCCTTACAAATCCTCACAAAACCTGGGTCTGTCCTAGGCCCTGAGTATTACATTGTGGGATGGGTGCAGAAGGCATGAAAGATGTTCATCATCAAGAAGTGGAAAAAATATTGTGGCTGCTCTCGTCATGCTACTTGTTTACCTTGCCAATATCAGAAGTTTGTTCTAAAACTATTAAAAGGCGTTGCAACAAAATGAAGGAAGGTGGTCAGCGTTGTGTACAGGAATGTCTTTAGAAATCATACAAAACCATGGACTCAGTGAAGACAGTAGTCGTTGGCTGAGTTTTTTAAGTGCGTTTAGCTTTTTGCAATTGCAGTCATAAAGAGCGGAAAAGCCCAGGATCGTATTTTTATTTACTATCTGAAAATACGCTTTCATAGTGAATGGTCTTTATTCCTTTAGTAAATCAACCCCTAGGTATCATAGAAGAAGGAAAAGAAATATGTCCTGAAATAATCCTGATGGGATTATTTTTTTCCAGGAGTACATACGTAAGGCAAGATTACACTGGAATTGTGTAAACTAAGACATTGTGGAAAGTTCCTTTTAAATTTTTGCTACTATTGCTGAGTGATCAACTGTGAAAAGTCTTAGCTTTTTATTGTATTACTAAACAGGAATTTTTATAGCACCATAATGGTTTCCATGCCATTTATTATAATGCTTGCCACTTGGCAGAAAGCTGTTTAGAGTGTTTAGCTACTTAAAGTGGTTCTAAAGCCTGAAAGTCACCCCCCCCCCCTTATACTTAACTGAGCAAGATCAGGATCCAGCGCTGTGCATGAGAGCAGTGGCTCTCTCAGCTCTCTTCCTTCTCATTGGCTCAGAGACATCAGTGGGAGCCTTTGGTTCGTGCTGCTGTCAATCACAGCCAGTGAGGGGGGAGCAGGGGGTGGGGCTGAGCTGAACCATGCTCTGAGTGACTATGGATACAGAGAGCCAGCTCTGGAGCAAGCATGTATGCCCCAATAGCAAGCAGCTTGATATGGGGGCACTTGGTAGGGGGGGAGGAGCGAACAGGACCAGAGGGGGACTCAAGTAGAGGACAGTCGGGGCTGTTCTGTGCAAAACCATTGCACAGAGCAGGTAGGTATAACATGTTTGTTATTTTGAAAAAAAACAGAAGTCTTTACAACCACTTTAATTAGCTGTACCTGAACACAAAAGATCCTTAATGAACATAGCCACCCATGAGGTGACGTTAGTATTACACAACAACATTATTCCAAATAATGTCTGTCAGTGTCTGGAGTGTACAGTAAGTAAAGATTCCCTTTGTGGAATTCTGGTTATAGAAAGTCTCAGGTTTTGATTGTTCAAAGCAGATCAGTCACAAGACCTTTCAAAGTCACAAGACTGTCTCTCCTCCAATCTTCTTGGAGTTCTTCTTGCTCTTTTAAGAAGAGAGAACTCCATGAAATACCACAGGCTCAATACCATGGCCTATATTTTAAGAATGAGCTGTGGAATGCAAGCAGCAGCATAAAGTAACATTGTACAATATAAAAGAGAGCAGATAGATAGACAGTGATATCTGATCTCCATTATAACTTGCCCCCTGAGGAGTCTATTTCTTTCTGTACACTGTGAGCCCTTGAGCACTGGCAAGGAATTTTTTTGGCCATAGTTACATGTATGTTTTGTGCAACGTACCATAAAGCACTAATCATTGTTCGAGGAATATAATAAGGTTGAAGCAAAATGTTTGTAAAGAAAAATACAGGCCATTAATAATTTATGAGATGAAAAGCACATAAAAAATCTTCATTGTCTTGTAGGATCCCATCAATGAACAAAATTTTGATGCCTACGTGACCACGTTGACGGACATGTACACAAATCAAGACCGCTATCAGAGTCCAGAAAATAAGGCACTCTTGGAAAACATAAAGCAAGCCGTAAGAGGGATCCAAGTCTAAGCAGCTGCTCTTTTGGTGAACTCATGCTCGAACAAAACAAAAAATATCTATAAAATAAGGATGCCTCTTGTTTTCTGCTGCTGTAAGCTACCGGAAAAGTGTTATATATTTATTCATTTTGAGACAGTGTTATGCTTACAAGACTTCATGATGATTTTATGTCTTGCTTTAAGAAAAAAAAACAAAAAAACGAATAGTAACTGCTGAATAGATTTTGAATACATTCACATTTTGTACGTTTTCATATAAGCTAACATTGTGTGATATGCCATGTAATGTTTATAGCTGCTAACGTATGCACATTTTTAAGGTAAATATATTTCTCAAAAGGGAAGCTGATGAAGAAAATCAGAGTGTAGATTTTTTATGCATTGGTGAATCAGTGTTTTAGTATATCAGAGTGGATAAGACAAAATCCATTAGGAAATGTCTTGCCATCTGCAGCCACCGTTCAGACATTTTCTTTAGGCCTCCAGTTGCAGGAATATTTTTGAGGACAGAAAAATCCATCATGGTGCGCATATTGTTTCACAGCAAGAAGCGATGAGGAATTGACTTTTTTTTTTAATAAGTGGAAGTTGTTTTTTTTTGTTTCTTTCAAGGTTTCTTTCAAGGACCTTGAAAATGATCATTTATTTTTTTTTAACTTTGTGGAATGGACATTGGAGAAATGTAAGATATACAAAAATATTTTCTTGCTGTAAGACAAAATCAAGCTATGAAAACCTGCGTGGAAAATCAAGAGCAGCTTAAAAGCACTTTTCATTCATAAATAAGCATCAACTGATCTCAATACGGGAACATCCATTGCTGAACTGTATCAAAAGTGGACAATGTGATAATTCCTACTGATCTTTTTCAAACAGACTTTGGAGAAATAGCCACTACTCACTCGTTCACTCCAGGATCGATTCATTTCCCTTTGAACTGCCTGTTAAGTATAAATATACTCATACTGGATTCCTGCATTTTTGAAAGACACTATTTTTAATACATTTTTTGTTGCTTTTTTTCATTGTCCTTTTGTTTCATTGGGGGTTTTACAATTAATGCAAAAAAATAAAATCTGTTTTCTGGTCCCTGGATAAAATCCAACAATAGATTTAGAAGAAAAAGTACACCATCTACCTTTGAACATTTATGTAATTTTCAATCATTTTCCACATTTTTATTTTATTTTTGTCTGTTGTGGAAAAAAAAATGAAAAAAAATGGGATTGTTGCTTGACTGTCCGTTTAAAAAAAAAATGTGACTTATGTTAAATTACCAAACTTCAGACAGCACTTATCTGTTTTAAATTGTAATTGTTACAATGCAGATTTTTTTAAACATTATTTATTTTCTTCTAAACAACTGCACTAACTGTATGCATAAGACCACTTTTTAAGTCATGTCAAATATGTGTTGTGTTTATAAAAGATGTCAAGAGGATTATTATTTTTTATTTAAACTGCATATCTTTTTTCCTTCCATGTGTTGTTATGCAGAAAGTACAATGTACTTAGAATTTTGCTATGAAAAAGATGGCTTTTTTAAAAAATAAAAAAAAAAATATTTTTAGCAAAATAGGACTTACAGGGTCATTGTCCCCACAATGTGCCAGTTGATAATTTGCACTTACCTTGTCCTATATATCCATAATATACGGAGGTGTGCAATTTTTTTTTTCTCTGTGTCTATAGCCTTTGTGACACTAACTCGGAACAAAAAAATAAATGAATAAAAAATACAAAAAAAAGATATACTGGAAGCCATGATGGCTGTTTCAATAATATCGCTAAGGGAGGGTTACAGGGATCTCACAACAAATATTCTAATACAATACTCAACCTCGGTATATATATGTATAAATATATGTATATCCCAGCGGCACTTTATACTCTACACTGTACAAAAGCTTACAGTTTTCCAGGAGGACTTTAATAACTAGCTGGGAAGAGCTTATGTAGTTACTTTTGGGGGCTTTGCAGTACGTTCTCTGTAAAGGCCTGTCTTTCTGTTGTGCTATTAGTTGTAGCGGTCATGCTCAGAACTGCCTTTTCAAATGCCGAAGAAAGGTGCTCGACCTTCTGCCATATCCATGTCATTCTTTGCCTTGAAGTTCTTTTTTCAAGGTAGCCATTGTTAATACTGGCATCTGCCTTTTATCACTGCATTGTGTCTGCAGCTTCTTTGCCAATATAGTAATGCTTTCAGTAGATAAATAGATAGTATCAGTTGGGATTATTATTGTTATCACCTATGTACAATGGAAAGGGATTTTAAGCACAAACCTGCTGCTCATTTAATGGTGGTACATTAAACTGTATCAAATCAAAAACCTATCTGTGACTATTATTATATAGGGATCACAAAAAAGTGTCACATATTAGAATGCTGACCTTTCATATGGGAATTATTGTGAGTCATCGAAGTTTATTTATTATAACTTATTGTTCATATTCATTTCTAAGTTTAATTTAAGTAATCATTTATTAAGACAGAATTTTTGTATAAACTATTTATTGTGCTCTCTGTGGAACTGAAGTTTGATTTATTTTTGTACTACACGGCATGGATTTGTTGATGACATTTTAATTTTGCGATAAATGTGTGGAATCACAAGTTGGTGTGATACTTCATTTTTAAATTGTGAACTTTGTACAAATTTTGTCATGCTGGATGTCAACACATCTTACTCTAAATAAAAAAAGAGAAAAAAAACAATGTGTTGCCACATTTGTAGCATAGTGGTTCTTGATTTACATGCATTTATTTATTAACAATGCAGCCATAAAAAATAAATGCTTTGGTAAGATTTAAACACTTTCGTTTTGATTTTCAATTTTTTTTTTTCGATTCTTTCATTTTGAACTTAGTTCAAAATTTGGTGTGATTCATGCCTAATATTCTGCATGTTTTAATAAAATGTTTCATTTGTAAGAAAAACATTTTTCAAGTTTTTCAGTATGTGTGCATTCTCCTCTTCCAAACTGTAGAAAAAAGAAATGAAGATAACTGATTTTCTAACCTAATATTAAAAAAAAAAAATATATATAGGCTAAAGTCTTAAACAACATCACATATAACCATGTATTTTAGGTAATATCTAATGCAATTTGTTGGTGAAAGGTCTAAGGAATAAAACATATCAGGAGAGACTGCAAGGACTTAAAGCTGTATTAAAACCAAATGCAAACATTTATTATACTGCAGTTTACTAATTCTTAGATGTGATATTTTCCTTTTTAGACTTTCTTTCTTCTTTTTCATCCAGTGATCAGGCCAAAAAGTCTGCTGTTTTTCAAAAGCACAAGCCTTCCAGCAGAATGTATCAGTTTACATCGATGAGCCATTTAACACTGGCAGGGGTGATTAAAATCAGAAGCTTTTATTTATTCATGTAAAATCTTTATCCCAAAGGGACAAAAACAGTTTGCAGTAATTGATTATGAAGTGTGAGCTGGAGATTGGCTTCAATTTGTTAGTGTACCTACATTTTCTAATACATCTAACACGGGGGTTCGGGTCACAGCTGAGCTGCATTTTTACCACCCACTCCCCCAAGGAAGGAAGGGTGGATAGAAGGAAGGGGTGGGTAGAAGGAAGCGGGGGGGTGGGTGGAAGGAAGGGAGGGGTGGAAGGAAGGGAGGGGTGGGTGGAAGGAAGGAAGGGTGGAAGGAAGGGAGGGGAGGGGGGTGGGTGGAAGGTAGAAAGGGGTGGATGGAAGGAAGGAAGGGGTGAATGGAAGGAAGGGGTGGGTGGAAGGAAGGAAAGGACGGGTGGAAGGAGTTGAAGGAAAGAAGAGGTGGATGGAAGGGAGGGGTGAGTGCAAGGAAGGGTGGGTGAAAGGAAGGGGTAGGTGGGTGGGTGGGTGGAAGGAATGGGTGGTGGAAGGAAGGGGTGGGTAGAAGGAAGGAAGGGGTGGGTAGAAGGAGGGGTGGGTGGAAGGAAGGAGGGGGGGTGGAAGGGGGGTGTGGATGGAAGGAAGAAAAGGGGGGGGTGGGGGGGGGGGGGGGGGGAAGGGTGTGGTGTGGATGGAAGGAAGGAAAGGAGTTGTGGAAGGAGTGGAAGGAAAGAAAAGGTGGATGGAAGGAAGGGATGGGGGTGAAAGGAAGGAGGGGTTGGTGGGTGGGGGAAGGGAGGGGTGGGTGGGTGGAATGAAGGAAGGGGTGGGTGGAAGGAAGGAAGGAAGGAAGGAAGGAAGGAAGGGGGAAGGAAGGGGGGGGAAAGGAAGTGAGGGGTGGGAGGAATGGAGGGGTGGGTGGAGGGAAGAGGGATGGAAGGATGGAAGGAAGGGGAGTGGAAGGAAGAAGGGAGGGGGGTTGGAAGGATGGAAGGAAGGGAGGGGGTGGAAGGATGGAAGGGAGGGTGGAAGGAAGGGAGGGGGGTGGAAGGATGGAAGGGAGGGTGGAAGGAAGGGAGGGGGGTGGAAGGATGGAAGGGAGGGGGGTGGAAGGAAGGCAGAGGGGGAAGGATAGGAGGAGGGGGGAGAGGGAGTGGAAGGAAGGGAGGGGGTGGAGGGATAGAAGGAAGGGAGGTGGAAGGATGGAAGGGGGGTGAAACGAAGGGAGGGGGTGGATGGATGGAAATTTAGGTTAAACTCACCATGGCTCCTTCAGAGGCATCAGAGCTGTGACTGTCGGCTGTTGTGTTCAGTTTCCCACCCACACCTCCTCTGAAGCTGCATGGACTGGAGTGTGGGTGGGCACAGGGGGGAGGCAGAGCAGATCCAGCCTCTCTCCCCTCTTCTCCTATTGGTGCGGAGGATAGAGGGAGGGGCTGGGCTGTTGGGCAGTGAGAAGAATACAGCAGCTGGAACATAGCAGCGGTGAGAAGGGAAGCAGAAAGAAGCTGCTTCTCCTCCTCTCCCTCCCGCAGCTTTCAGCTACTTCATTGAAAGCCATACAGGAGATCACTGTCACCACAACCACCACCGCCCCTCCCACACACTCCTAGTCCTGGCGCTGCTCGCCGCCTCCACCGCTGCACAGAACGGTTTTTTTCTCTCTGGCCCCCCT